TGTTCCTCTGTCAGGGACCGCCTTGGCCAATCAACAAAGGACACATCAAGGTGAGTCAGAGTGCATGGAAGGTGAGTCAATGCTTGCTCAGCGGGGCCAAAGACGGCGTCGAAGTCAGAGTGTGGCACGGAGAGCAGGTTGAGGCACGCCACGGAGGGCGGCAGCGACTGAAAGAGGTGCGGCAGGTGCGAGGGCGGGGCGGTGGCAGTGGTGGCGGCGGGGCCGTGGTGCAGCAGGTACTCCATGGTGCGCCGCATGAGGAACGAGGGGTCGTTGGCTATCGTCACACTCTGCCCATGCCAACACGCACGACGCAAGCGGCACAGCGGGGTAATCAGTCAGGAGGAAGCAGGAGAGTGCAGAGATGGGAGGTGGATCGGGGAAAAGGAGTGGCAAGGAAGATGGCTGTTGAGCGATGGTGACGCATGAGGGAAAACGGGTGGACACATGAATCAAGGTGCAGCTGTTGATGGACTCGGCAGACCCGCATGCTCCACATCCACAACACTAACGGCGCTCCCATGGCACCATACAACTCCAACACATGTTCTCTCGTCCTTACACCACATTCATCCTTCACTCCCACTCCTCTCCCCCAAAATCTCCCAACCCGCAGACACTGCATGCGGCACAGGCGAGGAGATGTTGTGGTACCTGCAGCCTGGGCAGGTGCGTGAGGAGCGCGGCAGCGAGGGGCACGCAGGAGGCGGTGGCGTAGGACAGGTGCACCGTGTGCAGCGCTGGCAGCAGCGCCGCTAGGTGCTGCCATGGCCGCAGGCGAAGGGGAGAGAGGGAAGGGGGAGTGAATTGGGGTGGGCGGGGAAGAGATGGCAAGAGCGCGATGAAGAGGACTGCAGACACGGGGATGGGGCTATTGGAGGCCAGGTCGAGAGACATGAGTGGAGGGGCCACTCGTGAAGAACAGGTGGAGGGGAAGGGGAAGCAGACACGGCATGAGAACAGAGCAGAAAGTAGCATCAACGCAAAACCCCCATAATGATTCTTCTATCACGAAAAAGCATCAACGCAAAACCTATTCTCCTCCAGGGCCCCCCAAAACCCCCCTTGCACCCCTCGCGCGAACCTGCAACCGCCTGACTGCTGCCGCGCGCCACTCGCCATTGTCCGCGTCTGCCTGGCCGGCACCGCCCTCCCCCTGCGCGTCGTCCCCCAGCGCCACGTGCACACTCGCCTCCTGTAACGCGTAAGGGCGCTCCGACAAGAGCAGCGCGGGGAGACTGGCACACGGAGAAGAAGGAGAAGGGGAAGCACGGTTGCTGGGCCGGACAACTGTGTGCGCGGAGGAGCAGTGAAAGGCCGCCGCGGAGACACAACAAACACACGGAACGGAAGAGTGGGCGGCACTAAAGGAGGGGGAGGCGGGAGGCGCGCGGACCTTTCATTGGTGAGCACGAGGCGCGACGAGAGCGAGGAGAGCAGCGCGCAGCTCCGCAGCAGCAGCAGCGGCTGCTGCGCCGCATGCCACGGCGAGCCCGGCCCGTTGCCTCCGATGCTGCGGTGGTACAGCGAGCGCGCGGAGTAGCGGCGCAGACTGGGGCACAGGCGCGCCACCATCGCCATCTCCTGCACCGCGCACTCACACGCGGAGGGGCGACGGGGTTGGGGGAAGGAAGGATAGCGGTGAGAGAGGGGATACTGGTGCAGGTGGGGGTGAGGATGCGCGTGTGTGCGAGGAGGCGAGGGAAGGGAGGAGGCAACTACGAAAGGCAGTGATTTAAGCTCTTTCCCTGCTCTAGGCACTCGTCCCTACCACAACGACATCATGCCATGTGTCCCACTCTCAACCCATCCCCGCCGCGCATCCCTGCGCGCGCCCCTCCACCCGCGCGCACCATGACGGGGTCCTCCAGCGGCCAAATCTTCACAGCCGCGTCGCAGTCCACCACCAGCTCCTCCACGTGCTTCCCGTGACACGTCAGCAGCCGCTCCAGCCACGTGGCGTGCACGAGGACGTCCATGGGCCGCGGGTGCGACTTGCCGTACAGCAGGTTGAGCAGCAGGCGGTCGCTGCCGCCCAGATGGTGCGCGTGCGCGGGGAATCGCGCGAGCACCACGGATTCGACCTCCGGACTACGCGGACAGGGGATAGCGTCGGGGGAAAAGGGGGAGAAAAGGGAGGGAAGCCCAGGGATAGAGGAATGGGAAGCACAAACGGGACGGTCGACGATGAGCGAGTCGCGAGAACGGGCGCGCTGGAAGGGTTTATGGACCGCGTGGGTGAGGGGACAGGGCGGGGGGAAAAGTCGGCAGGCTCGGGTACGACAACAAACGAGCACCGGGGAGGGGGGGTTGGGGGAGGGAAACGGGAGCAGGAGGCGGAGTAGGGAACGGGCAAGGGGAGAAGAGGGAGGGGAGCGGGGAATGTGAGGGAGGACGATGAGGTGGCAGCACCTGTATTTGGCGGCCATTTGGCACCGTCGGATGGCGTCGGGGCACCAAAAGGAGTGGTGCGCGAATACGCCCAGAGAGAAAACGACGCGTCGCAGCGTCGCACGTCGCAGGCGGTGCAGAAGGATGTCGCAGAGCACCGGGTCGACCCAGGCGAACTGCGTCATGTCCAACTCGTCAACGCTCTGCGACGGACGAGAGGCCACGAACGGGGCTGTGATGCAAGTTAGCATGGCGCCGTGGCGTGGGCTCGAAAGCACGCGGGGGCGACGCAGATAACGGGGAACGGAATGGGCGTTGACGGCAGCGGTGGCGAGAGCGTACCGCAAAGAGGTCGTTGGAGAGGGCAGCCATGGCCTTGCATGAGCACACGAGCGACGCGAGGTCGCGGAACGAAAGCCGACGCACGATGTTGTGGAGCAGCGGCTCGGGGAGGCCGTGCAGCAGCGCGGCTATGGTGCTGCTGCCGGGTGAATCCGCAGAAAAGGCACTTCCCCCCATGGAACTGGTGGCAGTTGGGGCGGTACAAGCTCGCGAGACGTCTCCCGCGCAATAAAGTGCTGGCGAATTCGACCGAGTAAGAACTAACAAGCTGCGCGTATTGACCAACGGTACTCAGCCAAATTCTAAAAGCACGATTGCGGGGGACGACTTGTAGTAATTACGAGACGACGTTCGTGAAAGGCGGGACGCAAAAGAAGCGTTTTATTCTTCAGAGAAGGGACCAGTCGACCAAATGCATCGCACAGAGGCCACTGCCAGAAGCTGTGGGATGCGTAAGTGTCACTTCAAACGAAAGCAAGAGCCCGAACCTACACTTCGGCGTTGTTCTGCAGCCATCCTGGGAGGGAAGGTGAGAGAAAGTGATGAATCTTCAAACGACGGCTCCATTCCCTTACCTCACCCGAACCTCCTTACGCCAGCAAATGTGTCCAGTCACCAACAGTAGAAAATGAGCAACAGGTCGCAATGACGTCAGCCGGCGGGGAACTTCGCGAGAAAGGGAGGAAACTGCAAGGGGGCTACGAAGCCACACCCTCAATTGCGCAAAAAAAGACAGAGGGCTGTACGGTCGCCCTTGCATACAATACAGGGGTACGAAAACCTGGGCTGGGTGTGCTCTTCCGTTAAACAAAAAGGAGCGAGAAGCTCTTCAACCAGGTGAGTGGTTGGAGGTTGAGCTACACTTCTGGCATAACTACCCGGGATTAACCTGTCGAAAGCACACGTGGGAGTTTTCGTGGGTGAAGTAATGGTGTTCCCTAACGCGCTGCTTCTGTTCCATGACAGAAGTGGTTCCTCCCAAAGGGTGGTATGCGAATGGGTAAGCGAGAGAATTTGGAGTTGCCTGTGAAAGAAGGTGGGTTCGTAGCTTCCTCCTCACCACTTCCGTGACGGAAATGTAGCGTTCTGCAGCACTTCCCTTCAAAGTGGTTCGGACGGTAAGTGGTCGGCTCGACACCAATTTTGGGGCTGACCGTCTCACCTAACCTAAAATTAAAAATCCCCGCAGTTTCCTACTTTCCGTTCCGTGACGGAAAGTGTGGCTGCAGAACAACGTCTTTCCTGCGAGCAAGAGACGAAAATGGGCGAATGCGGTTTGGAACAGGGAGGGAGAAGGGGTGAAGGAATGGCAAGGCAGGTGCTGACAGTCACGTCTTACCAGATGGAGGGCGCCTTCATTCGTACTCTTGTTTCATATCGGAGTCAATTCAAGCGAGGTTATTGGCACTTCATGGTGTTTAAGTATTGGTACTGTATCTTTCGACTTTTGATCCCACTGAGAACTAGGAGTTGAATATTCTCTCGGAATACTCCCTAACCACTCCTGTCTCTCGCTGGAGATGCGATGCGTTCACAATCTGTGTGTGGTGCTCCGTTCTATACGCTCCGATTGGTCGAACGGGAGAGATCACGAAATCATTGGTTGAGAGGAAGCCTTCACTTGTGACAACGGACATATATCTGTGACTCAGACGAGCGCCATGACAACGAATCGACTAATCCGCCGTGGACACGCAAGCAACGTTGACAGGGGTGCGAGTGAAGATAAGGCGAGCCCCTGGCTCTTCAGACGTGGCTGCAGCCAGATTGGCCAGAGTGGCAACGTCATGAGCCTGTAATCCAATGGTAGGGGTTCATTCCATCACGTGACCAACGAAACCCTCCTCTCTAGAAGAGTTTTGGTGTGGACAATACACCGTAACGAGCCTGCTCCTAAACCCATTACACAGGAAAGAGAACACACAGCAACTTGATTTACCTACAACATTGACAACTCAGACATACAATCAGAAACTAGATGCTGAACGACATAGGAAGGAAAATATTACGGTACGGGCAATTTTGTGTGAAGTGGATTGAGTTTACATTTGCTGACTTTGCACACGATTTGATAGTCTTGTCTGTAAGGTCTCAAGCACAAATATGTCACTCCCGTGGAACTTATGGAGTTACATATGGGCTCACTTGCAGGTCTTGCAAGCAACTAAAAGTGTCACTATGCGCAAACCAGCAATTTTGGCAGTATAAACCAAGCCTTTTTTCCTAAGCAGTCTCTGCATCTTTGCACCGCCATAACCAAGCAGAGTTCAGTTGCCCTTCTTCTTCAGTTGACCGCGCACAGCTCCATCAGCGTACTTCTTGGTGTGAATATTCCCGTAGAACATAGGAGGAGCCGCGACAATAGCCTTCAACGCAGCCTGTAGCTCTGAGGTGCTTTCCCCGACAGCCTTTCCTAACGAGCCCGCACAGCGCCAGTAATTGCGTTGCTTGTACTGCTTGTATACACAAGGCAGGTTCACCAGAAGGTCGCCATTCATGCCCTTAGCGCCTGCGTGGATGTGCGTCTTAGTGGGTGGCATTTCCCCTTGCAAGAGGGCTACTCGAACCACGAAAGTGAGCCACGTGTAGGCGCCATTACCGTCACTGTGGTGGGCACGGTCAAGTATCAGCACAAACACAGGCATCGCCAGTACTTTGAAGCGCATGATGTAGATGGCTGACGAAAGAAGGCAGAGAATAGGCCAAACGAGAATCGTGCGAGAGAATCCCAGAGCTGTCTACGATTACCACTCGACAAGCAGCAGACGAAAAACTTAATGGGCGAGAAGCCGAGTGACGAAAACTGTGCGTTCTTACCCGTAGATCGTGAGCAGCATCGTGGCGCGGCCCTGCATGTCGCCCACAGCATCCCTGGCGACCTTGGTGTTGTTCTTGGGAATCTCGTTGCTGCCGAACAGGTTCGACGACAGCACCACGGGGGCTGCGCACGGTACCACGGGAAGCCAGCGCACCAGGCAGGCGACGGGTGAAATCACATGCGGGTTGTGGCGTTTTTAGCACGAATTAACGAGGGGAATCGGGATTCTAGAAGCGCGCAAAGTGTTGCATGCTTGGAAAGGTGCAGGGAGAAGCTTACCATATTTGTCCGCGCACGCAGTTGCCACAAAAATTGACAACGCCACTGCGTAGCAAGCAAAGGTACAATAGAAGCAGGAATAGACAGTCAGTACACGCTGCAACAAAAAAAGAGCTGTGAATTTAGACAGCTCGAGCGTTGAAGCTGGCACTGGACATCAGATCTGCCTGTGCCGAGCCTTACAGCAATGGTAAAATCTACGAGGAGACTGGGGAGGATGTCAGCGGCGGGGATTACCAGCTACGAGGAGAACGGGCGAGGAACGAACAGCCATGGTTGTCAGTCGTCGGAGGCAGCAAGGGAATAATATAAATTATGAGTGCCCGAGTGGAATTTATACACACGGGTGAAGCGTTGGTGGAAGGCGCGCGTCATCAGGGAATCGATGCTGCCGACGTTAAACGTGTGGGGACTGGAGTGACGGTTCGAGCCTAATATGAACAGTGTGCACGACGGATGCGGCTCGATGAAAATTCCTCGACTGGTGAAGGCTGCTACTGCCAGCAACTGTGAGATCATACAGTAACAGGAGCTGGAGCTTGTAGAATTGCGGTGCGTAAAGATCAGGAAATGGTGGCCACCGTGCAGCTCGGTAAGGAGGGACGCACGCACGACCAGCCCAGTGAGTGGGCAACCCTCTGACCACATCCACGACGGGACCCCATGAGAGCTCCGTCAAAAACAATTTCGAAATTGTTCCGATTCCGCATCAAGGCGATTCGACACCACATCCTGATGCCGCATTGCTCGTTCGTTGGAGCCCCCCTGGTTGCCCCCAACGGACAATCTCAAACATTAGTTTGAGATGATAAAATGACAGAAATTCCTTTTAAGCCTACAGCTTTGTCAAAAGCTGACTATGACATACAGAATTTGAAGAGGACATTAGGATCCTTGCAACCTTGAGTGTTTTTTTCAAGTACACTTTACAAGAAAATAACTCAACACACCGTTTTTTAAACCAATATTACACCACTTTTGAAATGGAAACATTATAGCATATCGATTTTTTCAAGCATACACATATTACGGTATGTGTATGTACATTTAGTGTATGAGGGTAATGGTCATTCAAATGAGGCTTGCACATTTTACTGGCAGGAACACCCACATTTTGGCTTCCATATGAATTGCACTCCAAACTACCAAGACTTGTAAAGATTTATTTTTTTGTAACGGGGTACATACAGACTTTTATCTCTTGGGTTGGATAGCCACTGCTCTGCACCGTAGGATAGCCTACTTGATACATAATACCGTCCGCAACCTCTCTCGAGTTGCTGAAGTGATGCTGCGTAAATTAGGGCGTGTCTCCATTTTGCCCCTGACGGTTCGAACCGTGGACGGTCCGATGTGCGAAATAATTACCTGCTTCGCTTGACTTCGAGAAGGTTTTTGTGAAAGCATTTGCGACGACGTTAACGGTTCGAACCGTCGCGTCACTTTTCCCGCTTTGCAACGGCTCACATTTCGAACCGTCCGCAGCTCGAAAAACAAACGGACGCTACAACAGTTCTGGCGCAGGATTGGCGGACAAAAACCAAGAAAAATAAATGTCGCAGGGGGGATGTGGGCGTTTGGCGAACAAGGGTGACTTCGGTTACCGGAGTATAGTATGATTAACGAGACTACAGTGCTTCGTTATTTTGTGAAGGTGAGAAAAGTGACGCATTTGGTTTCGGACGGTCTGAAGTTTCGAAATTACAAAGTGGACTGTCCGGTACGCGGTATTAGGACCGTCCAGAACAAAAAAACGTGGACCGTCCGCGAAAATCGTAAAAATCAAAATGGAAACACGCCCTTACTCACGCCCTTGCCTTGGAGTTGCATTGCCTTGGTTGTGTTTTGGTGCACCTGCTCAAGCGGCATTCCTCGCTGTCATCAGCCAACAAGGCGAACCGCTCGCTACTCGGGACAATCTTGAAGTTACACCCGTTCGCGCATCCTTTGGTGTCATCCGCTTGGGAACACACAAGTGACCACACCACGCGGAACCCAAAGGAGGTTGCCTCAACCCTGGTCTCTCCGTGGCTGTCTGTGTTCTCCAGCGAACCGACGCTTTCATTCAACATACAAGTCAGCTCGGAATCTGTTTAGTGTGTTGACTTGCTCGTGACTGTTGCGGAACTTGCCTCGGCCACCAATCCACCAATCCGCCACAGCCGCATCTATCTCTTCAAGTTAACATGGCGGCTGCTTTGGCCTTCCCAGCGCGGGATCTGTTTGTGGCCGGCAAGTGGACGGCTCCTTGCAAGGATGGCCGCCTGCCAGTCGTCAATCCCTCCACGGAGGAAACTATCGGTACGCGAGCGTGTGTACGCCTTCGACTTTGTTTGTTTGTTTGATTGATTTTTTTCCTGCCGAAATTGAATTGATTCCGCCCATCAAGATTCTTCATCTGGTCCCGCCGATACCAAGTCGCTCTTCTAGAAAGTCCGCGCGGCGAACGCGGCAGCATCGCCACGAATCCATGACGCCCTTCACGCATGCCATCCAATTCCGTTCGCGGCACGACGCGAGCGATCTCGTATGTCCCGCACTGTTGCTCGAAGCGCGATCATCAGCAGACCAGAACGTACTCTGTTTCCCTTTCCCGGCTCTTCCCCTCCCGCGCGCTACTGCCAGGCACAATCCCCGCGGCGACGGCGGAGGACGTGGACGTGGCGGTGCAGGCGGCGAGGGGCGCGTTCCAGCGGAACGGCGGGGCGGACTGGCCGAAGACGACGGGCAGCTACCGCGCCCAGTTCCTCAAGGCCATCGCCGCTCAGGTGCGCGCTCGGGGGGCGAGAGGGGGAGAGAGGGTGGGGGGGCAAAAGGGCAGAGCAGGGGATGTCGAGAAAAGGGTTATTGCTAGAAAGATTAAGGTATCTTATTGAATTCAATCGCAGCAACTGTTTCGACAATGCTCTTTGTTGATGGATAGTCTTGTGTTGTGTGATGTTGCGGCGTGGGAGGGAGGGCACGTGTGGCGTGCGTGTGCAGGTGGTGGAGCGCAAGGACGAGCTGGCGCGCATGGAGGCCATGGACTGCGGCAAACCCCTCGACGAGGCCGCCTGGGACATGGTGCGTGCCGCCCTGCCCTGCCATACCATGGGCTTATGGACGCTGGATGGTGTGGGGAGAGAATGTTCAAGGTGACTTGCGTGGTTGTTTCCTCCTCAACTGCTTCTACTTCATGCCATCCCTCTCTTTATCGAGCTTCTCCTGTCGCCCCGCCATCCCCTTCTTCCCTGCTGACTTCCGTGCTTCATGTCTGCTGCCCCGACCCGTGGCTCTCCCGTGCGTGCCCCACTGGCATGTCCCCTCAGGACGACGTGGCGGGGTGCTTTGAGTACTACGCGGGGCTGGCGGAGCAGCTGGACGCGGAGCAGGGCGCGCCGCTGCAGCTGCCCATGGAGCAGTTCGCATGCCGCATCCGCAAGGACCCCATCGGCGTCGTGGGGCTCATCACGCCCTGGTCAGCGCTTCTCTCCCCTGCTTTGCTCACGTGCACTCCCACCACTGTCGCTGGTGCTTCGCATGCCTGCTGCTCTCTGAGGTGTTGCCTATTGCTCACACCAGTATTGCGTGGTTTGGTTTTGCCATCCAATATCTTGGCTTTTGACATGGGGTGGCATGATTGTGTCCTCATGGTATGGCATGGCATGGCATGGCATGGGATTGCATGGGATATGGTGGCATGGCAGGAATTATCCAATGCTCATGGCAGCGTGGAAGGTGGCGCCAGCACTGGCAGCGGGCTGCACTGTCGTGCTCAAGCCCTCTGAACTCGCTTCGCTGTATGCTCCTCCCTCCCCTTCCTCCTCTCCCTCCCTCTTCCCTCCTCGCCTCCCTCTCCACCTGCTCCCCCCTTTCACCGCACCCATCTCGCATTACCGTCTCACTGCACCCTCTCTCTGCACCCGCTCGCTTCATCCTGTCGCTTCAACCTCATGCGTCCTTTTCTCAAATTCTCCTCTCAACCAGCATTGACTTGTTCCCACCCATCACTCAGCAGCATAACGTGTCTTAACGTCTGTACTACCTTACGCCCTTCCCCATCCCGTCTACCTTCACTTTCCTCCTTCCCCATCCTGTCTTCCTTCACATCTTTCCTCCTTCCCCATCCTGTCTTCCTTCACTTTCCTCCTTCCCCATCCTGTCTTCCTTCACTTTCCTCCTTCCCCATCCTGTCTTCCTTCACTTTCCTCCTTCCCCATCCTGTCTTCCTTCACTTTCCTCCTTCCCCATCCTGTCTTCCTTCACTTTCCTCCTTCCCCATCCTGTCTTCCTTCACTTTCCTCCTTCCCCATCCTGTCTTCCTTCACTTTCCTCCTTCCCCATCCTGTCTTCCTTCACTTTCCTCCTTCCCCATCCTGTCTTCCTTCACTTTCCTCCTTCCCCATCCTGTCTTCCTTCACTTTCCTCCTTCCCCATCCTGTCTTCCTTCACTTTCCTCCTTCCCCATCCTGTCTTCCTTCACTTTCCTCCTTCCCCATCCTGTCTTCCTTCACTTTCCTCCTTCCCCATCCTGTCTTCCTTCACTTTCCTCCTTCCCCATCCTGTCTTCCTTCACTTTCCTCCTTCCCCATCCTGTCTTCCTTCACTTTCCTCCTTCCCCATCCTGTCTTCCTTCACTTTCCTCCTTCCCCATCCTGTCTTCCTTCACTTTCCTCCTTCCCCATCCTGTCTTCCTTCACTTTCCTCCTTCCCCATCCTGTCTTCCTTCACTTTCCTCCTTCCCCATCCTGTCTTCCTTCACTTTCCTCCTTCCCCATCCTGTCTTCCTTCACTTTCCTCCTTCCCCATCCTGTCTTCCTTCACTTTCCTCCTTCCCCATCCTGTCTTCCTTCACTTTCCTCCTTCCCCATCCTGTCTTCCTTCACTTTCCTCCTTCCCCATCCTGTCTTCCTTCACTTTCCTCCTTCCCCATCCTGTCTTCCTTCACTTTCCTCCTTCCCCATCCTGTCTTCCTTCACTTTCCTCCTTCCCCATCCTGTCTTCCTTCACTTTCCTCCTTCCCCATCCTGTCTTCCTTCACTTTCCTCCTTCCCCATCCTGTCTTCCTTCACTTTCCTCCTTCCCCATCCTGTCTTCCTTCACTTTCCTCCTTCCCCATCCTGTCTTCCTTCACTTTCCTCCTTCCCCATCCTGTCTTCCTTCACTTTCCTCCTTCCCCATCCCGTCTTCCTTCACTTTCCTCCTTCCCCATCCTGTCTTCCTTCACTTTCCTCCTTCCCCATCCTGTCTTCCTTCACTTTCCTCCTTCCCCATCCTGTCTACCTTCACTTTCCTCCTTCCCCATCCTGTCTTCCTTCACTTTCCTCCTTCCCCATCCTGTCTTCCTTCACTTTCCTCCTTCCCCATCCTGTCTTCCTTCACTTTCCTCCTTCCCCATCCTGTCTTCCTTCACTTTCCTCCTTCCCCATCCTGTCTTCCTTCACTTTCCTCCTTCCCCATCCTGTCTTCCTTCACTTTCCTCCTTCCCCATCCTGTCTTCCTTCACTTTCCTCCTTCCCCATCCTGTCTTCCTTCACTTTCCTCCTTCCCCATCCTGTCTTCCTTCACTTTCCTCCTTCCCCATCCTGTCTTCCTTCACTTTCCTCCTTCCCCATCCTGTCTTCCTTCACTTTCCTCCTTCCCCATCCTGTCTTCCTTCACTTTCCTCCTTCCCCATCCTGTCTTCCTTCACTTTCCTCCTTCCCCATCCTGTCTTCCTTCACTTTCCTCCTTCCCCATCCTGTCTTCCTTCACTTTCCTCCTTCCCCATCCTGTCTTCCTTCACTTTCCTCCTTCCCCATCCTGTCTTCCTTCACTTTCCTCCTTCCCCATCCTGTCTTCCTTCACTTTCCTCCTTCCCCATCCTGTCTTCCTTCACTTTCCTCTTTCCCCACCCTGTCTTCCTTCACTTTCCTCCTTCCCCACCCTGTCTTCCTTCACTTTCCTCCTTCCCCATTTCGCTTGACCCCTCTGTGCCGCCCTCCCTTTTTCCCCTTCCCCCGCCTCCCCCTCCCCCTCCCCCCCTTCCCCTCCGCCTTCCCTTCCCCCCCCCTCCATGTCCCCCTCGCAGCACGTGTCTGGAGCTGGGCGCGATAGCGGAGGCGGTGCAGCTGCCAGCGGGGGTGCTGAATGTGGTCACGGGGCTGGGCGCGGATGCAGGCGCTGCTCTCACCGCGCACAAGGGGCTTGATAAGGTGCGCACCACATTGTCCCCTTCTTGCTGCTCTACCTGCAACGCATGGCCCCGTGACGGAGAGGGGCTTGGGAGGACAAGAGGGAGGAGAGGTGTTTGAGATGCATGGGGAAAGGAAGGGTATTGTTTATGTGGAGCTGTGGTGAGGGGGAAAAGGGTGCTAGTGAGGCTTACTGTTGCACATCGAATCTCCACGTTTCAGGTTCACGTTCAAACAAGCTGCACCCACGCAGCATATCAACTTGGTTGTTTCTCTGGCGAATAGCCGTACGGTTTTGTTGCTTGGTGCATTTCCTCTCCTTATCTTCATCCATCCAGTGCGTCGCCCTCTCTCCCTCGCATGTTGCATTTACTAGCATTAACAATCGCATGCACCGACTTATAATGGGCACTGTTGCACCCTGTTGCGGCCATGCATCCACAATGATCTGCTGCTTGATTGCTGTTGGATACCATTCTTCATTATCTCTCTTGATTACTTCATTTCCCTTTGCCTGATCGTGTGTGCATGGGCATGCATGGATGGAGGGTTTGGTGGTGGATGGCCGGGTGCATGTATGCATATCGTTCAATGCATGGGGGAATGTATGGGGGAATGTATGGATGGTGCGGGTGTGAATGCATGGTGGCTGCAGATAGCGTTCACGGGCAGCAGTGCAACGGGGAAGCTCGTGCTGCGTGCCGCCGCTGAGAACCTCATTGTGCGCGCCACTCCTGCCACTGCATGCCACCCACCCCTCCCCATGCATCCCCTCCCTGCTGTGACTCGCACTACATTACAACTCCATGCTGTCTTTTGCAGGATACTTCCCCTCTTGTTCTCCGTGTCTATCCCTTTTCCCCACCATATGTCTGCTTTTCTTGTCATACACTTCTCTTGGTTTCTGCCGCCTTGCCTTCCCCCCCCCCCCAACACACCGTCCGACGGCCATGCCTCTTGCTGTGCCGCTTGTTGCCATGCGGTGGTGGCACCACGGTGCGGTGTGGCGGGACGTGGGAGCAGCCGGTGACAATGGAGCTGGGCGGCAAGAGTGCGCTCATGGTGTTTGACGACGTCGACATTGATAAAGGTGCGCGCGCTCCCTCGCTCACACGCCCTCATGCGCCGCTTCCCATGGGCTCGCCCTGCTCCTGCTGCACCCTGCACGGGGCCACACATGCATGCATGCAGGGTGGCAATGCGAGTTGTTTTGGGCCTGGTGGTTATGTTGACGGGTGTTGGGCGAGGCATTGGGTGGTAAGGGCTCTTGTGGGAGATGGGAGTGGGGAGGAGATTCGTCACAGGTGGTCGTGCTCATCTGTCCCTTGGTTCCTCCTCCCTGTGTTCAGGCTTTGATGCTTTTCCTCACCTCCTCGTCCTTTTTATCCCCCCTCCGCTATACCCGTGCTTCTTCTCCTCCTGATTGCCCCTCTGCGCTGCTGTCTTTCAATCTCGTCCGCCATCCTCACCACGCTCCGCGTCTAACCCCCTCCCCTCGCCCCTCCGCGTTGTCCCCGTGCCGGCCCACTGCGCTCGCTGCTACCAGCGGTGGAGTGGGCCATGTTTGGGTGCTTCTGGACCAACGGCCAGATCTGCAGTGCCACCTCCCGCCTCCTGCTGCATGTAAGGGGCATGCTGCATGGGAGTGGCATGCTGCATGGGAGTGGCATGCTGCATGGGAGTGGCATGCTGCATGGGAGTGGCATGCTGCATGTAAGGGGCATGCTGCATGGGAGTGGCATGCTGCATGGGAGTGGCATGCTGCATGGGAGTGGCATGCTGCATGGGAAGGGTATGTGCATGGGAGGGGCATGGTGGATGGGAGAGGAATGGTGGATGGGGGAGGCATGGTGCATGGGAAATGGAGCCTTGCTACACTAAACCTGCACTACATCCATCTCTCTACCGCACATGCTGCCTGCAGCCCCTCACCTCGTTTACCCTTTCCCCACCACCCTGCTGTCATCCTGTCTCTCATCCCCTCTTATTTTACACATTACTCTGTTTTTCCTTGCTCCCTGCGTCTTCTTCCCATGCGGGCAGTGCCTCACCTCAAACGCACACCTCCATCCCTTCTTCCCCACCTGCGCCCCACCCCCCACACGCCTGCGGTGCCATGGCATGGCAGGAGCGCATAGCGCCGGCATTCCTAGCGCGCCTGGTGCAGTGGGCGCAGGCCATTCGAATCTCCGACCCTCTTGAGCCCGGCTGCCGCCTGGGGCCCCTCGTCAGCCAGGCTCAGGTGTGCGGGGGGGGCGAGGGGGTGCTGCCAACAGGCAAGCAAGCGAGGGAATGGGGCAGGGGCCTGTGCAAGCGAGGGAAAGAGGGAAGGGGAATGGGTGGGGGTAGTATGAGAGCACAATGGGGGTGTGGGAGAATGGCTGGGTGTGGGTGCAGGGTTTCAGGTTTAAGGTTTGCAGTTCTCTCCCATTTCTCATTGTGTCAATGAATGGCGAGTCGTTTTTGAACTCTGATGTTCCATTTTCTCCGTCTTCCCCATTTCTCCCCCCCTGTACACGCAGTACCACAAGGTGGTGGCGTTCATAGGAGGCGCCAAGGCGGAGGGCGCCGAGGTGCTGTGCGGGGGGAAGCGACCGCAGGTGAGGGAGGGGGAGGGGAAGGGGCAGCGCGCATGGATGGGGAGGGCAGGGCGGGTGGGACGGTGATGGAGCGTTGTGGTGCAGGGGAAGAGCAGTAGGCAAATGATCCTTCCGCCCCATGGTCCTGCTCCATGCGTCATCCACCTCCCCACGCTCCGTTCCTAACACATCTTCTCCTTCCCCTTGTTCCATTCGCTCCGCGTCCCCTTGGCCGTCCCCCTCGCAGCACCTGGCACGAGGGTACTACCTGGAGCCCACGGTGCTGCGAGTGACACCGGGCATGCGCGTGTGGCAGGAGGAGGTGTTTGGCCCTGTGCTCGCCGTGCACACCTTCTCCGATGAGCAGCAAGCCATCGCCCTCGCCAATGACTCCAGGTTCGCTGCTGCCACCGCTGCTGCTCTGCTCTCTCTTTCTCTGCTCCACATTCCTTTCTCGTCTCTGCACCTTTCCTGTCTTATTTCGTATGCTTCTTCCATGTCTCCTTCCCACCTTGCCCCCTCCATGGGTTCCGCCCTCCACTGTGCTGTTCCGTGTATGTGTATGTCTGTGGGTGTGCATCAGCTATGGGCTGGCAGCAGCCGTAATATCGGGCGACCAGGACAGGTGCCGCCGCGTCTCAGAGGTCAGTGCACACCTGCAAGCCTTGCATGTACTGCCGCTATCCTAGCTTGTCTCTCAGTGTGCACCCCTGTGCTCCTCCACGTTGCGTCATTGTGTCCATGCTGTGTGCGCCGTGCGTGTGCCATGTGTGTGGTGTGGAGCGAGCAGGCGATGGAGTGTGGCATAGTGTGGGTGAACTGCTCGCAGCCGTGCTTCTGCCAGGCGCCGTGGGGCGGCAAGAAGAGGAGCGGCTTCGGCAGGGAGCTGGGCAAGTGGTGAGTGCCCATGGGGCGTGCACTGCTGCCAGGTGCTGAGTTGATTATGTGGTGTGCATGCCTGGCTTCGTATGGTAACCGATGCATGCACTGCCAGCCATGCCTGCATGCACCACTCCAGGGATGGAACGCCATGATGCTGCATGCCTCCTCATTCTCTCCACTATCCTGAATCCGCCACCCCCCACGCCCCCATGCTGTGTGTGTGTGTGCAGGGGACTGGAGAACTACCTGTCAGTGAAGCAGGTGACGCAGTACGTGTCCAGCGACCCCTGGAACTGGTACCCTGCGCCCTCCAAGCTCTGACTGCACTGCACTGCTCGCTCCACAACGGTGACTCCCAACAGAGCTGACCTGCATCAGGGCTGATGGAGGAAGTGCTCCTTTTCATGTGTGCTGAGAATGTGGCAGCGGGATATTTGATGTCTTTAATAAGCTGGACTATAATTCTTTTTGGTTCGGCGTTTTTAAATAAATGTTTGAGTGGTGGCAAGCCATTGTACAGGCAGTATTACTTGGGACACGTGTTTTATGGGCTTCACATTGACTTCTCTGCAACTCCTAAATGTACACTAGCACTACAACATGACTTAGCAGATCAATCTTAGCGAGTACAAACCCTTGTTTTCTCTTGCCTATCCCACCACAACCATCCCCGACGCAGCGCCGCCTCACGATTTCCCGCCGCCACCCACACCGCCAACAACAGCGCCATCCGCGTCTCCGTCCTTCACGCCGTTCCACCCGCTAGTCTCCTCGCGACCCCATCGCGGCTGTCGCAGGCGACGTCGCCCTGGCGATTCCTGCGTTGCGACCCTCCGCTCCCCTTCCCGCTCCACGCTCGAACCGCTAACCGCTGCGGATCCATCTAACTCAATAAAGCGCCTGATAGCCGCTCCTCGCCCGTTCATGTCGCGACAGGCTTATCTTCTCCGCGTCGCGTCCAGGGCCGCCACCCGATCCGTATCAAATCCGATCCGAGTAGAAACAGTATGCGGTCAGCCCACGTCTGCCCTCCATGGCGATCCGAGTAGAAGCGCTCTGGGGATAGTTGGTGTGGTTGATCGCCTAAGCGGTTCTTTTAACGAGAGATTTACCAAATGCCACGTGGAGGGTGGCGTCAGCCATGTGATAAACCACCCTGGTGCATTCTCGTCGAACCTCGCCCCTACGTCTTCCCGCTTCTCTCCGCATTCGCTCCCCCGCCAAGTGTCCCCTCTCCTCCCCCTTCCGTTCCGCGCGTTGACGTCTTCCGCCGCGCCAACCGCGCGGGGGGAAGCACCAGGGGATGGCGACTTGCCCGGAGTGGCGCAAGCGGGGGATTCTGGCGAGCCGGAGGCGGTGGGGGAAGCGGTGGGGGAGGGGGAGGGGGGGGAAGAGGGGGGTTTGACAGGCTCGATCCCACGGGTTGCGCCTTTACCGGAGGACCTGACAGCCGCGCAGGTGGCAGCGCTGAGCGCGGAGGGCGGGGAGAAGGCGGAGAAGGCGGAGAAGGCGGAGGCGGAGGGGGCGGAGGGGGGCATTCCGCTGCCGTGCTTCGTGAGCGAGGGGCTGGAGGGGGAGAGGCGGAAGGGGAAGAAAGGCAGCGCGGGAGGGGTGGAGCTGTTGAGTCTGGCGGACGCCATCAAGAGAGTCAAGGTGGGGCATTCTGCCGCTTCCTGCGCCGCCCTGTCCGTTGCCCTACCCCCCGCGTCCCCCACTCCCTTGTCCATGCGCGCGCGTCACCCGCCTGCTCTCTCCACTGCCGCACCGCCGCATCGCCGCATCCGCAGTCACTCACCCCCCTCCCTTTTCCCCCTCTTTTTCCTTCCCTGCCTCCGCTTCCCCCTTTCCCCCTTCCCCATTCCTCTCCCCCCGCCCTACGCGGACTGCCGGGGCGCTGGTTGTGCGCGTGCGGCGGGTCGGGGGTGAGCGCGGCAGGAGGGGGCGAGGGCAAAGTTTGACGAGACGGTGGAGGTGCATGTGCGCCTAGGCATCGACCCCAAGCGCAGCGACCAGGTGCGCCTCTTCCTTCCCCTGCCCCGCTGCTGCTCGCCCCTGCTTATCACTGCATCTCCCAACGTCGCTTCACCTCGCTTTGCTGCCTCACATTTGCCCTCTCTGCCTCTTTCTGCTCGTTTGTTACCGTGCCCCGTTTCTCTTCCCACCTTAACCCCTCAACTCCCTGCCTTCCCCTCCGCATGCACTCCGCTGTCGCACGTCTCATCAACGTGCCGTATCCTCCCCACTCTCTGCGCTTCCATCCCCTCGCCCCTCCCACCTCGCCGCCAGATGGTGCGGGGATCAGCGCAGCTCCCCAGAGGCACGGGCAAGGTCAGTACACTCACCCTGCTCCGCCCACTTGTCTCCCTTCCTGCATTCCCCATCGCACCTTCTCGGTGCCACCCCTGGTGCCCCGTCCTCGCCCTCCACATCTCTGCTCATCCCCTTGCTTCTTCGCTCGTCCCCTCCTGTTCCGCCTCGTCGCCCCACCTTCAGCCTGTGTCCTGTAGCCGGGTAAGCCAGTAACAGGCTGCCTATGCGCCGCCGACATGCCACCCTCCTTCATGTACTGCCCACCCTGCCTTGTCTCCTCTACTTCCATCCCCTCTCTCCTGTTCCGTGAACCTATTCCTCTCAACCATCCTGGTTCCCATCCTGTCTCCTGTCTCTCTCCCGTCCCTCTCCCATTCCGCTTTCCCCCCCCACACCTGTGCGCCCGCTGTCAGGCGGTGCGGGTGGCGGTGTTTGCGGAGGGGGAGGAGGCGGAGGCGGCAGCAGCAGCGGGGGCGGACGTGGTGGGGGGGGCGGACCTCATAGCGGAGGTCAAAGCCAGTACGTGCTGTGCAGTGCTGTGCTGTGCTGTGCTGTGCTGTGCTGTGCTGTGCTGTGCAGTGCTGTGCTGTGCTGTGCTGTGCTGCGCTGTGCTGCGCTGTGCTGCGCTGCGCTGTGCTGTGCTGTGCTGTGCTGTGCTGCCAGGGGGAGCAGCACGGGAGATGTGCCTCGCACGCTCCTGTTCCGCCCATGCTGTGCTCACTCATCCCACTCATGCCATGGTGACGTGGTGGCGTGGTGCCATGATGCCATGGTGACGTGGTGGCGTGATGCCATGATGGCGTGATGCCATGATGGCGTGATGCCATGATGGCGTGATGCCATGATGGCGTGATGCATGGTTGTATGGTGGCACGATGGCATGATGGCCTGGTGGCGTGATGGCATGTTCCCTGTCACTGCAATGGCAGGTGGCGGCAAGTTGAGCTTTGACAAGTGCATAGCCACGCCTGCCCTCATGCCCAAGCTCGGTCAGGTGCGCCCTCCCTCCCCCCTCCCTCCCTCCCTCCCTCCCTCCCTCCCTCCCTCCCTCCCTCCCTCCCTCCCTCCCTCCCTCCCTCCCTCCCTCCCTCCCTCCCTTCCTCCCTCTCCCTCCCTCCCTCCCTTCCTCCCTCCCTCCCACCCTCTCACTCTCGCGCTCATGGCACTCTCTAATGCAAGTACATTCAAGCACTCATACCATTCTGTGACATGCCCTCCTGTACCCGTGCACGCATGCTTGCATGCATGCATCGCCAACAACACAGCCCGTCTCCCCTGGTCCCCCCATGCCCCGTGCCCTCAGATCGCGCGCATACTTGGTCCGCGCGGCCTCATGCCCAACCCCAAGGTATGCTGTCGCCATGCCCAACCCCACGTGGCACGGCAAGCACCACTGGTTCACATTCCCATGACAGTCATCACATGGTATTCCGCACATCACTGACAGCTCTTGAGGATCACTGCACAGCAAGCCACTCGTGTTGATCACATGGCATGGTAGCAGCTAGCGGCTATTTATCCCCTTGTCACTGCCTCATCCATGGCTGTCACATCTTTGCATGTGCTGTGTGCAAGGTGTGTCTTTGAACGGCATGTTCTGTGCATGGTCGGAGAAATCGTGTTGCTTGGTGCATGTGCATGGCATGGCATGGCACGGTGCATACATGATGGTGGGCGAGCAGATGGGCACGGTGACGGTGCATGTGGGGGAGGCAGTGAGGGCGGCGAAGAGGGGCAAGGCGGACTTCAAAGCAGACAAGACGGCCAACGTGCACGTGGGGATAGGCAAGGTGCGTGCCGCATGCCCTCCTCCACTGCTCCCCATGGCTGCTCTGCTCCTTCGTCCTCTCCATGGCCTCATCTCACCAGCACTGCCCATGTGAACCACAACGAGTCTTCAGCGCTCGGCCAGTGTCATCATGCTCTCGCCCATTCTTATCCATGGCCGCCCCCCCTCTCCCCCCTGTGGTGACCAGGTGAGCTTCCCGGACGAGGCCCTGGCGGAGAATGCAGCGGCGTTTGCAGCGGCTGTGCTGGCAGCCAAGCCCGTGGGGCTCAAGAAGAGTGAGTGCTGCTGCATGGCCGGGCACGGCATGGCACGGATGGCTCACAATGGCAGCACATGGCAGCACATGGCAGCACATGGCAGCACATGGCAGCACATGGCAGCACATGGCAGCACATGGCAGCACATGGCAGCACATGGCAGCACATGGCAGCACATGGCAGCACATGGCAGCACATGGCAGCACATGGCAGCACATGGCAGCACATGGCAGCACATGGCAGCACATGGCAGCACATGGCAGCACATGGCAGCACATGGCAGCACATGGCAGCACATGGCAGCACATGGCAGCACATGGCAGCACATGGCAGCACATGGCAGCACATGGCAGCACATGGCAGCACATGGCAGCACATGGCAGCACATGGCAGCACATGGCAGCACATGGCAGCACATGGCAGCACATGGCAGCACATGGCAGCACATGGCAGCACATGGCAGCACATGGCAGCACATGGCAGCACATGGCAGCACATGGCAGCACATGGCAGCACATGGCAGCACATGGCAGCACATGGCAGCACATGGCAGCACATGGCAGCACTGTTGTCACTTGCGGTGCTGGCGGGACAGTGTGCAGCGCAGTGTCCCCGTGCTCCTCTAATCTCACCCAGCCCTCACTCATCACCCCGCTCATCTCCTGCCACCCCTTGCCCCATGTGTGCCATCCTGTGTGCCATCCTGTGTGCCATCCTGTGTGCCATCCTGTGTGCCATCCTGTGTGCCATCCTGTGTGCCATCCTGTGTGCCATCCTGTGTGCCATCCTGTGTGCCATCCTGTGTGCCATCCTGTGTGCCATCCTGTGTGCCATCCTGTGTGCCATCCTGTGTGCCATCCTGTGTGCCATCCTGTGTGCCATCCTGTGTGCCATCCTGTGTGCCTGTGTGACTGTTCCTCTGTGTGTGCATGAAAGTGCAGGTTCTCGCTTCTTTGGCTACTTCAGCAGCTTCACTCTCTCCTCCACTGTGAGTCACATCACATGTGCCGCGCTCACCTGCACCAGCGCCCCCCTTCCTCCTCAAACCCGCTCCCACTCCAACAGTAGACCCTCGCTTGAACGCCTTTTTTTGATAGCAGCAAGTGATGTGTCACATGCGTTGTTCTGTCCTGTCCTGTGCTGGGCTGCATGCAGATGGGCAAGGGTGTGCGAGTCACAGTTCCTTCAATAGCAGCAGCCGCTGACGGCTATATTAAGTCCGGGGGAGTGTAGACATGCTGGATTCTGTTCGGCTCTATGCCAAGCAATGGGGATAATCTCCTTAGCCAGTATATAATATTTGAGAATCCGTAGTACATCTCTTCAGCTCTTTAGATGTCCTGACTGACTATAACGAGAACACCTTCCGCCCCACCACAAGGTCATTTGTGAATTCCAACCACATTCGCTTTTTCATCACTTCTACCTTCGCATCCTCCGCCTTCCCGAGTTCTCTCCCCGCACCCGCCCGCCTACCGCCCAGCCATGTCAGGTCGTGAGCCGCGCCGTCAGCGCCGACCGCTCGACGACGAGGCTGTCCCGTTCCCCGACGACGACTCCGCGTCGCGCCGCGCCGACAGCGCCCCGCGCCCGCCGCTCTCGCAGGCGGGCGAGCTGCAGGCGCTCGCCGTGGGCGCCGCCATGACCGTCGGCGCGCTGTGGCTCATGCGCTCCTTCGACCTCCTGTAGACCGCGCTCTTCCTTCACTCCCCGTGTCCCCCCCTCCCGTCGGGCTCGGCGCGCTCTGACGTTGGTGTGTTTCTCTTCTCTAGGATCTCTTCTCTAGTGTGTAGCTCGCAGGGGGCCGCAACATCGGCGTGGGGTTGTTGACGCGACTCGGCGGAGCCATGCGCCTCCAAGGCAAAGTCGCGTTCATCACGGGGGCGGCGCGGGGCATCGGCGCGGCTTGCGCGCGCAAGTTCGTGGCGGAGGGCGCTAGGGTGGCCATTGCTGACGTGTTGGAAGAGGAGGGGCGCCAGCTGGCTGCTGAGCTGGCTGCCGCTGATTCGCAAACGGCGGCACAGGCTGGGCGGAGGGGTGGGGCGGAAGGGGAGGCTTCCGCGGAAGGGGAGAAGGGGGATGGTGGGTGCGCGGAGGAGGTTGGGGAAGGGACACGGAGGGCTGGAGAGGGCAGCGGAGCGGAGAGCATTCCGCGCGCCGTGTTTGTGAGGTACTGCAGCTGGGGGGTTGTCTGGGCGCGGAAGGGGTTGGGGGGAGTGAGTGCGCGAGGGCAAGGAGGCGCAGGGGCGGGTGGCAGGGGGGAAAGGGGCCCAACTGCGGAAAGCCATGTGGGCGCAACGAGAGGCCACGAGTTGCACTTCCCGCGTCTCTACCCCTCCGCCTCGGCGTCCCGTCCTCACATGCCGCATCTCTTCCCTCCAAACCCCCTCTCCCCTCCCCCTTCCCATCCCTCCTACTCCCCCGTCAGGTGCGACGTGTGCGATCGCGACTCCATCGCGTCCGCGCTCGCCGCGGCGGCCGCGGCGCTGTCCCCCAGGGCGCGCGCGCTGCACGTGCTGGTCAACAACGCGGCGCTGCAGAGCTGCAAGAGCCTGCCCGACACCGCGCCGCGCGACTGGGACGCCGTCATCGCCGCGTCGCTCTCCTCCGTCTTCCACGCGACGCAGCTCGCGCTGCCGTACCTTCGACGCGCGGAGCGCGGCGCCGCGGCCATCGTGAACGTGTCGTCGTCGTTCGCGCTGGTGGGGTCGGCGGGATACGCGGCGTACCACGCGGCCAAGGGCGGCGTGTCGTCGCTGACGCGCGCGGCGGCGCTGGGGCTGGTGGCGGAGGGCGTGCGCGTGAACGCCGTGTGCCCGGGCACCACGCTCACACCGGGGCTGCAAGAGGTGCGCGCGGATGGGGGAGGTGGGGGATGGGGGAGGTGGGGGATGGGGGAGGTGGGGGGATGGGCTTGCGTGGTGGGATTGACGTAAGGATGTGTGGCGGTGCACATGGGATGGCAGATGATGGTCCGGTGGTGGATGGCGTGAGAGCACAGCACAGCACGTGCCATGCTGCCATGCTCAGTGCTGCCAGCCGTTTCATCTCACCCACTCTCCTCTCCTCCCTCCACCGCCCCCCACTCCACATCCCCCACGTTTGCCCCCACGTGCTTAGAGTGTGGCGCAGCAGTGTCCGGACCCAGCAGAGGCGCAGCGCCTGATGGACTCCTTCCTCGCCCGCCAGCCGCTTGGCAGGTGCGCGCCCTGCTGCCCTCTCCCTCCCCATGCTCACCACCCTCCATCTCACATCACCTTCCAACCATTGACCAGTGGACCGTTCATTTTCCTCCCTTGCTCAATGCGCCACCCTCCTTTTCCCCTCTCTTCCCCCTTCTCCCTTCCCTCCTGCAAACCCGTGTTCCCCTCTCTTCCCCGGCGCACCCCCACCCTTGTGAGCGGCGTGGCAGGTTTGGGAGGGCAGAGGAGGTGGCGAATGTGGTGGCGTTTGTGGCGAGCGAGGAGGCGAGCTTCATGGTGGGCGCCAACGTCGTCGTGGACGGTGGCTACACCGTCGTCTGATGTGCCTCGCTTTGAGGGGGGAGGGGGGCGGGGGGGGGGGGGGGAAGGGAGGGAGTGGGGTTGGGGAGGGGAGAGGAGCTTGGGGGGCTGCTGGTGGTGGGGGGAGAGCCACGCGTTGGGGTTCGCATTTAGTGGGCGGGCGTGTGTGGGTGCAAGGAACCTCTGCATGGTGCGAGCTGGACTTGCAAATGCGTTGTGTGTGAAAGTTTAGCCAAGTGTGTTGTATGTGAGCGCATCCACCTTTGCGGTTGTCCTTAAAGCCAGCAGCTAAAATAATGACCCCCCCCCCTTCTAGTTGGGTCCAACTAGGAAACTCAAGTTATGGACATTTTCGAAAGTACTACACTTTCTAAAATTACTTATTGTGAAAGCGCAGCTGCTTGTACGCAGCACAAGAAAGCATCGTCGAAGCGCTACTCGCCCTTCTCCGACTACAAAAGAAGGGGTTTCGGCCATTTGGCCTCACCCACGTTTTCATTTTTCAAAGTTTCAAGTTCAGTTTTTGCCCGTCAAACTGGCGAAGACCCGCTCCCTTCCCCGCTTCACTTTTCCCTCGGCTCTCCTAACGGACATTTTTAAGCACAACGCTTCTGCGATGGCGCCTACCAACGACAACCACGGCGAGGCTACGAACGAGAACGCCCGGCCTATTTCCGAGTCCGGAAAAAAGTCGGGTGAACCCGACCGTCGCCCGAAGCGGAAGACCACAGCGACCGCCGTGGAGGTGCTGCTCGGAGGAGAACCGAGCGGCACCCCTCCTGCACAGCGACAGAATCAGCAGCAGCAGCACGTGGAGCACGCGCCTGGCGAGAAGGCGCCAGACGCGGCTGACGTCACCCCTGCTGCGTCTGACGCCGCGCCTGGTGCTGGCACGCGCGGTCAAGGCAGTCGCACGCCTGCACAGGCGGCCGTCCACACGCCAGCACCCGCCCCAGTTTTGCCGCCCCCGAGCTTGTCGCCGGACCAGATAACGGCGCTGCTGGACCTGTTACAGCAGCAGCAAGCGGCGGTTAACCGTTCCATTACGGAAAACAATACAATTTCATCTGCAAAACCTGAGAAGAAATGCGAGGCAGCTCCGGCTCCTCGCGCCGCCAAGCTGCCGCGCCACGCTGACGCGCCTTTCAACCCGGCGACCACGACGCCTATCAACGACCCCGACGAAGACAGCGACAACGACAGCGAGAATGGTGAGGCTCCCCCCGCCACCAATTTTCCCACCATCGTCGAGCATCTTCCGCCCCTCCCATCTCTTAACCCAAGCGTGGCCGCAGCTTCTTTCACACGCAAGGGTGTCCGCGAGCAAGCTGAGGTGTTCGAGGCCCTGCTCGCGTACTTGAAGCACGCGGACTTCAAGGCTCGTCATGGCGACATCGACGGCACCCTCAATCACCTCGCCCAAGGCCAAGCGCTCATCATGAAGCGCTTTGAGGTGCTGCAAATGGCGGACGCTGCTGGTTTCGACACCGCCGACCGCTACCAGATGTACCAAGCGAAAAGCATCCTAACCTCCCGCCCGTTTAAACAGGCGGCGGCGGATGTTGCGGCGGCAAAAAGGACCTATGGTCCCTACTCCCGTGGCGCCCGCGGTCACGCACGCGAGGCTCCAACTTTCAACTCCAAGGCATCCATCCCCGCTGCCTGCAGCACTCGTCCCTTCAAAGGATCGTGCTTCCGCTGCGGGCAGATGGGCCATATGGCCAATGCCTGCCCCTCGGGTGGCTCCGGGGCTCAAGGCCCCGCACCCGTGGTGTGAACGGCTCGGGGCATGAGGCCCCTGGAGCTCGCCCTCGGGGAGGGACAGAGGCGAGCGCACCAGGGGGTGCACGGCCTGGGGGCCAGCCAAAGAAGGTGAGGACCAGGGGTCCTAGGACCTATGGTCCTCCGCTTGTTTGCTTAAGTGTGCGTAGAGCGCGGAGGCGCCATCTCCTTTGTGTGTGTAGGCCTTGACGGCCCTTTCTTTGTGTGTGTATTGATTATAACGATAATACAAGGACGTGCCCTGATTGCCAAGGCAAAAAAAAAAAAAAAAAACAAGAATCACATTGGGAGAGGGAGAGAGCGAGAGAGAGAGAGAGAGAGAGAGAGAGAGAGAGAGAGAGAGAGAGAGAGAGAGAGAGAGAGAGAGAGAGAGAGAGAGAGAGAGAGAGAGAGAGAGAGAGGGAGAGAGAGAGAGAGAACTCCCACGGCTTGCAAGGAGCGGGGGGCAAGCAAGGAGCTTGAAAGCAATAGCTCCCACGGCTCAAGGAACCTCGTTCTTATATCGGTGCGAGTGAACGACACACTCTCATGGCTCGACAATCAGCCGTGTGTCACCTTGGTGTGTCTTCGTCAACCAATGTCCAATGAGAACCGCAACTCCAAGGGTTGAGTGGTGGAAGGACGGCTTGACTACGTAGGAACATACAGCTACTGACGAACAGTCCATGCCTGTCGGAATACGCATGTGACTCGAGGCTCGTCGAGTCCCGAAGCAATCAACCGTGACATTCTCGCACTTCCATTATAACTCGATAATGATATAAGCTTACTCCTCATTTGCACATGGCATGTGGTGTACACCCTACTTGAACGTGCGCAGGCTTCTCGGCCATGACATTGCGTTTGACCCACGACCCCTACGAACATGCCATAACGGATCTGCACATCACGTCCAAAAATGGAAGGCTTAAGCATGCGTTTTCGTGGTGGTGCTCGTGGTGTTCAAGCAGCTTCATCTTATCTATCATCGCAAAAGGTTACTGGCTCCCGTGGAAAGGTTCTCCTCCCAGTCCGTTTATATCACCCAACCACGCCGGAGCGTACACTCATGCGAAGTTCACACGCGACGCAATAACGGAATTGTTGGCATCAGGGGCGGTAGTGGAAGCACGATCGGTCGACGAGCTAAGCTGCATCAGCCCTCTGAACGTGGTGGAACAATGCGAGAAGTGTCGGCTCATACTGGACCTGCGTCAAGTCAACCGGCATCTCGTAGTCCCCAAGTTAAAGTACGAAGGCCTCCATCGGGTAGCGGAACTAGCACAAAGAGGAGACTGGATGTTCTCGGTGGACTTGAAGTCAGGATACCACCACGTGGATATCCATCCAACGTGCTGGAAGTTTCTCGGCTTCCAATTCGAAGGTCGTTCCTACCACTTCCGGTCCTTGCCATTCGGCCTGGCAACTGCTCCCTTTGTCTTTACACAATTGATCAAGCAACTGGTTGCACGATGGCGATCCCAAGGTGTTCGGGTTATCCCGTACGTAGATGACATCCTCTTCCTTTGCGGAGGGCAGGACATCGCGTACCATACTTGTGCAACGATTGTCGACGATCTGCGACACGCAGGGCTTGTCATCAACCAGAAAAAATCACATCTCATTCCAACACAACGCCTCCGATTCTTGGGCTTGGAAGTGGACACCTCGACCTGCACTTTCTCGGTGGGAGACGAGCGCCGCGCTCTGCTCAACGCGACATTGGACGCCCTTGAAGCAGCGGGGCAGGCCCGTCGATCAGTCCCAGTTCGCCAGGTGGCCCGCGTTACAGGAATGCTCGCATCCATGTCTCTCGCCCTCGGCGCTACAGCGCGTGCATTCAGTCACAGCCTCCTCAGCACAATCAACGACGCCACGTCATGGCATGCGAAGGTGGTTCTTTCACAAGACGCCATGCAGGAGCTGAAGTTTTGGCGCTCTGAGTTCGATCACTTCAATGGCGCACCATTCCACATTCAGCACAGCTTTGGCGCGGTGCTTCACGTGGATGCGAGCGCCCATGGTTGGGGAGCCACATTGGCGAGCTTTCCGGGCCCTACGCTTGAAGCATCGGCAAACACGCCTGAACCGCTGCGCTCGACGTCTAGCACCCGTCGTGAACTCGAAGGGGTTTTATGGGCTCTCCGGTCATTCGAAGCTCACCTACAAGGCCGACACTTACTCATCCGCGTGGACAACCAAGGAGTGTTCTTTATCTTACGCAAGGGCGGATCCCGTTGTCAAGAGCTCACGCGCATCTGCCGGACATTAATCCATTTTTGCGTGAGGCACGAGACTCGTCTCGCCATAGAATGGATACCCCGATCGCTTAACGAGCACGCTGATGCGCTCTCTAAGCTACGAGACCACGACGACTACACCCTAAAGCAGCCCTGGTTCCGACTAATAGACCGATGTTTGGGTCCTCACACGATACACCTCTTTGCCAGCGCCGCTAATTCACAACTCCCTCGCTTTTGTACGAAGGTGCCTCACCCCGCGGCGCACGCCGTCAATGCCTTCTCGATCTCGTGGACCGGCGAAGCTGCGTTCGCGTTTCCACCGCCTCAGCTGATCCCAGCAGTGCTGCATCATGCACAACAGACAAACGCAAGGATCACCTTAATTGTCCCGGAATGGCCGGGTGCTTTCTGGTGGCCCCGGGTCCACCCTACGCCAAATGGATGGGGCGCAGAAAGTCCTCACCCACATCCAGCTACCCAGCGGGAGCCAGTGCCTTGGCATTGGGACCCACACCACAGCATTCTCCGGCTCCGGCCTTCCCAACAGCACCATGCATGCACTCCTATTTTCTTTCGCCTAAAGTTCTGAGCATACGTTTCTCATGGTACAGGCATAATGGCAAGACTTCAGCGCCAGCTCCTGTCAATTGTGTCGCAAGTAAGGGCGGATTCAACGATCCGCACGTACGACCCCTACTGGCTCAAGTTTCGCTCATTCTGCGATCGGTTTAAACTGGCGTTCTTACCAACTACCGACACCACACTGGCATTGTACTTAGTACACGCAATTGAGCAAAAAGCCACACTCTCAGTCATACAGCTCACCTGCTCAGCGGTGACTTTCGCACACCGCATGATTGGAGCTTCTTGTCCCGTCTCCGGCCCATTCACGAGTCAAGTTCGAGACTACGCCAAACGGCACTGCCCGCGTCCATCCCGTATCAAAGAATCAGTGTCGCTCCAGCAAGTCCAACGTATGGCCCAGTCGTACCTGTCGACCACGGTTCCCGCAGAATT